CTACTCCTTTACAAGTTTTAAATGAATTGGATAATTTTGGAAATAAAGAATTCATGTAAGTATTATCGTATTCCTACATCATGCGTCCATATTTATACCTATAAGGCGACCAAAACAACCGACCAAGTGCGAGTCGGGCTCGCGCAGGAAGGACTGTATTGTATGTGATCCCCACTTAAAGTTTTTATTCCGTATTTTAGTATTTCTTGTTATAGCGGCAACAGGAGTACATCATCTGTGAAAATTTCAACTGTTTAACTATCACGGTTCATGAGTTCACAGACTGGCACCAGACAGACAAACGGCGAAGTCTTAGTAATGGGGTCCCGATTTACTCTTGGGGGCGGAATCTTAAAAAAGATCTTGGTATGCTCGTAGACAGACAACATAATTATAACAATGGCAGGGCCAGGTAACTGCTTCCACTGTTGCACGAATAGGCAGGGCCATCCGGGGAAGTAGACCCACGTGAAGTGTTACACTTCTACGTTTCATCTGGCAAGTGTGAAAAAACCGGGGCCCACTTTATTAAAGTGTCTTGCAAATGTCCATGGGTGGCAGATATCGCTTAACATCAGGTGAACCGCCAGTTCGCTTGCCACTTTCTCGTATAAAAAAAATAGTTTACAATTACAAAAATACTTTCCTACAATGAACATAGGTACTTAATTAGCGCAATGATATTAACTTTAAAACCTTGAGTGAATTCGATTTAATTTAATGAATTACTTTGAAGTAAGCAAGCCTAAAAATACTGCATTAAAACAAATTTACACTATGTCTCCCTCACAACTGAGACGAATCTAATGAAACCTCATAATTATGTTACAATCTGTTGAATGCTTTTAGGCTGTAGAGCATGCCAAAGAATCAGACAAAGGGCAAATGTTAATGAAAACTAAACTAATTATTATTGAAGTCTGTACTGTTGTAATAAACAAAATAACGTTTAATATACTCACATTTAAAATGGAGATTACTATTCAAAAAGCAAATAAAATCGAACCGGCAGCGCTCACTCTGGAGTCGTAAAGTTACACCACCGTTGACGTGTCCTACGCAAGGGGATTCGAGGATGGTCCTTGGCGCATCTGAGGCCTTCAGTGCCGCCGCCGACTGCCGCTGGAGCGGTTCATTACGACGCCTACGCGCTCTCCAACTTTTAGTTCAATAATTGCAATTCTATTGAGGAAGCTCGATGTATGGGAATGTCAATTGTGAGACATGGGTTAAATAAATATGGAAATGAAGGAGTGTCAAAATCCTTTTAAAAACAAATGCGCACCGTTTTTTATGGGAAAGTGGCGAGCGAGCTCGTGGTTCACCTGATGTTAAGTGATAACCGCCGCCCATGGACATTTGCAACGCAGCGGTCGCAGATGCGAATGCTGCGTTGCAAATGTCCATGGCCATCCATGTCCAAGCCAGCCAATCGCCATTGGGGCTGAGTGGTGGTAAAAAAGTAAAGTATATAGGTATATTTTTTTATAAAAACATTGCCCTTACTTTAGGATAACATTATCCTGTGTTGTAAGGACGTTTTACACACATAAATTTCACGCGGACAAACACCCAGATTCGAAACAACCATCTGTGGGTCGAACAAATAGCTGTCCCGTGTGGGAATCGAACCCACGACCCCCAACGCCGAAGCTAATATCTTGGCGACTGCGCCACGAAGCGTCACTGCAAGAGCCTCTTCTGTACAAAGGGTCTGTCTGTATAGTCTATATATTATGTCTGTGTGTATAGTCCACAACGCAGCCCCACTAAGGATTGGCGAACTTCACATATCTTCAAAATATTTCATTGTTATTATTTCAAAAATATGTAGGTTTCCTCATTTTCCTTCATCGCAGACCACGTGATAAGTCAGCACTTCGGCCTCAACCCTTCGGCTGTTGCACGAATGGGCAGGTCCGTCCAGGTAAGAACCACGACCTCACAAAAGACTAACGTGAGGTGAATGTGTCATACTTCTGCATTTTGTCTGGTGCGTGAGGTAGTCGGGGCCCACTTTTTTTACTTTATTAAAAGGTGGCAACGCATCTGCGACCCTACGGGTGTTGCAAATGGGCAAAAAATTAACTAATAAGCTGTCAAATGTCATTTGAGTGGCCAAAAGGGCTAAACTCTTTGAATTGACCAGAATTATCGTTCTGATCTTAGAAGTTCAATCTTTAAAGATTTTAACCATTTGATAGCTGATTAGTTAATTTCTACGATGATCAGTGTTTCAGAAACCGGGTGTAAAGATATGTTAGTGTTAGAAATGATAGTATCATCATCACCAACTAGGTCTCAATGGATATTCAGTAGTGCTACACTACCTATGCTGCTCTTCACTCACTTTCGCACTTTCGCCAAGTTTTAAGTCGGCGTAGACTAGAAAATGGCCGTTCTGCACTAACAAGATTTGTGACAACAGTGTACTCATTAATTTAAAGTTTTTTTATAGTGCTAATCTCTGCACTTAAGATTTAATATTAAAACATGTAGAAAAAGTACGAAAAGATTGTCGCCGCTGTGGGAATCGATCCCACGTCTTCGGCATTCGCGGCCTGACGCTCTAGCCACTGACGGCTGATAGTCACAGCGACGAAAATCTTAACGCCGTCTTTCTACATTGTTATTTAGCATTTGAAGCAATGCTTGGCGTATCTATTGTTATATCCTTTCCAGCATATAAACAATTTCGAATATCGTTTTACAACGATAATTCGAACGAGAGATGTCGCCATTGCTTTTTATAAATTTTAAAGTTTTTTATAGTGCTAATCTCTGCACTTAAGAATGAACATTAAACATGTAGAAAAAGTACGTAGATTGTCGACGGCGACAATCTTTTCGTACTTTTTCTACATGTTTTAGTGTACTCATTGTTTTTTCTTATTGTAACTAACATTAATTAGATATAAATGCTCTGTATTTATATTATTATTATATTAAATAAATAAATATCAAATATATGCTGTTACATTGATAACTACCGTGTTGTTGCCTTTTAATAAATAATAAAAAAAATATGGGCCCCGGCTACACCACTTACCAGAAGAAACACAGATGTATATCTTCCACTTCAGGCCGTGTTTCTGTGAGGTCGTGGTACTTCCCCGGACGTACCCGTTGTGCCCGTTCATGCAACAGTGAGGACTGTTGCGTGGTCCTACCACAGTGGTTTTCTTAGTATTGCACTAATTTATTAACTAATTATTAAACAGCGTGTCTTTAAAATCGCGACAATAAATGAACACACATATAGAGGATAACTTTTTAAAATTTTATTAAAAATTTACATTCTTTAAACATCAATATTTACAGAGTTATTAAATTTTCCAAAACAAAGAATTTTCGAACACCCTGACGTATAAAACTGTAACGTAAAGTTCATTTGTAAAGGTCACAAAGCATATGAATGGGTTTAATGAATTTAAGAGACAAAACATACTGTTATAAGGTAAGGCTTGTAATGCGGCGCTGTGGCAACGAATGAAAGTCTCTGGATGTATGAATCCGTCAGTTGTAGTTGTATAGATGTTACAAATTTTGTTTCTTTTTTACTTAATTAGTTTGTTTGAAAAATATATTTTTTTATTAGGGATTTTTTTAACGATAATATTTTTTATGATTATTGGCAAGTAGCGTTAGACGTGTGTTTATTTATTGTCGCCGTTGTAACGACACGCTGTATATACACTAATTTATTGGCTTTAATTAGGATTGTAATAAATTCTGAGACCATAATGTGCAAGCCTCAACGTGTGACCAAGATATTGAAACAGTTAAATTAAGTGATTTAACTGTTTCAATATTGTGTAAGTACACAACACTTCACTTAACAAATTAATAAAACACAAATAAAAATAAAAGTTTTGATAAGGCTCGGAAATATAAACAAACTTGAATGTTGTCTTTTTTTGTAATTTCTTTATTTTTTTCACCATTTATCGTAAAACTTTCCTACGGCACACCGCGCGTCGCAGTCGCGCACCAATATTCCGCCTTGTGTATGTCGAGCGATTCCTCCCACACAAACCTCAACGTGCCAAAGCTCTCACTTCACGTCGCGTCACGACACGTCGCGTCACGACACGTCACGTCACGACACTTCCATGTCCCGCTGCTCTGTCGCGCCCATATGAGACGTACAACAAAAATGCACGTCGCTCATTCACGCCACTCGAAAAGCTTTGCGTTGCTCAAGAAGAAGGACATTTCCGTGCTGTGATTACAATAAGTTGAAAGAATCGAAAAAAAATAATAATAATTCACACAAAAGACTTCTAATAATCGATTTCGCAGCAGATAGATTTTACAAATTTCCGTGTTATTCGATTTTACAAAAAAATAAATAAGCGTAAAAAACGTTACATTTTAGAAATACAATAGAAATAATATATATCCGACGTAAGTACACACAAGCACCATCTAGCCGCAGTTTCACTGCCTTCTTACCATACGATATAAACCCTCAACGCACGACTTCACAGTCGAAAATCGCTTGGCAAGTTCCGGCCATCGCTCGTTTCAAACATAGGCGAATCGAGTCGTGCGTCGAGTACCAAACCTTCCAAAGTACAGAACAAATATAACATGAGTCGCGACGCGTACTGGTCTGGCTCGGTCGATCGAATTTGGTAGTCAACAAGTCTAAAGGGTCCCCGCCACGTGGTCGCGCGTGCAAAGGTAGTACTAGTTACAAACGAGCCGGATCAGTGCACGCCGCTCCGTGAGCAGAATGTATCTTCACCGCTTACCAAACTTATAACACGTTATTATAATTCGATCAGGAGATCTGTCAATGTTCCAAACATTTGCGTACCAGCTACTGACAAACAATAGAAAAACAACAAGTATATAAAATACTATAATAATAAACCTATAGGAAGTTACATCACACTTTACAATCTTTGGATACAAAATCTCACCGGCGCGCTCGCTGACTAATTCGATGCTGCCGACTCGTGGTACTGAGACGTGGTACTGACTAAGCCCGCAAGATGCAGGCCGAGATGGCGGAGCAGCGGGACGAATTAAGCATCGAGCGCGCCACGGGTGCCGGTCGCTCGCGGCCGGGCCCACGCCTCCCCGCCGCCCGAATCGCGTTGCTCCGACAAACGCCAGGGCCCGACCTATCGAGCTTCCGCCACCCTACACAAACCGATACCAGTCTCATCGCGAACCGTGTTACACACGCCTACAGAAATTTTGAAAACAAATCGAAAATATTTTAACCTCATCACATGAGTCGCGTCAGTCCCACAGTTTCATTCTTTACGATATCAAAATTTTCCAAACGCCACCGGTGCATATTGGGTGTCCATAATTCGTTAGATCTATTTCATTTATTCAAACGATATCTTAAATACAAAAAAGCTTCGAGTCGCGTCGATGGAATAACTGCGCGCTCCTAACCGTCGACTGAGACGTAAACTTTCCTTCTCTCTCCATACACAACACCCAATATGCCGTCACCATTAAACCTAACACCACATTTTATATTGCAATCTATTTTTTTTAACTTAGCCCTTCGCGAACATAGTCCACGCCTAATAACCATCCGGCAGCCATTTTGCGAGTCACTCGTCAAGATGGCGGCGCCTGTACAGCGATCGAGTACGCAAAATGGCGCCGGCGTCAAATGCAAACCTATCTAGACAACGCCCTGTCGCTCGGTACACTACAGAACACAGTTTGTATCCATCATTCTCACCCTAAGAAAAAACATTTACATGGTGGCCGATCGTGTCCAAATACTTAATTGTTTCGTCGCATCAGATGACAGACTGTAACGCACACTCGTTGTATTCTTATCACGTTCCTAATTGTACGCACTAATATTCCGAAATGCGGAGAGGTAAAACGAACATCGGAGTTCATTTCATCGTTACGAATATTTGAACAACAACAAGCCACCGTATATCGATACTATACATAAAATATGAAATATTTAGGACACATTATTTCGAAATCGTTTAACCCTAAAAATCATTATCCATTATTTAATATAAACTACAATCGATTGGCAGTATTCGTTCACCTTCAACCTCCCGCTCTCTTGATATCTATCGCGTATCACTCGTGGCGTGATTTGAGCCGGCGCGCAAGTGGCCGCTCTCTCTCTCGCGTATGGACGTACGCGGAAAGGTGATGCACCCGAGACGAGTACGAACCCTGGACTCGCGTCTCAGCATCCACCATCCAACTGAGGCCAGCTGCTCGCGTGCCAGGACTCGACCAGGCAATCGAGCGCATCATGCGTGCCCACAATTCACGCGTCGCTCATCGAGCCCCTCTACGCCTATCGCCTCCATCACTTCACTTGTGATCCCTTCAACCGTCTAAGCTAAACTGTGCTCGCGTACGCTGCTTCGAACCAATTGCGTGCCCATCAATCAATACTTAAATTTATTGCTATAATGACCCGTCGGATTGCTACGACGCTCCGAACCGAAACAAACGGTAGCCAGCCTCCCTCCTACTCGCAGAGCATAATGTGTTGCCAATCGGAACAAAACTCTACTTACACGACACGGAAAGAAAAATCAATCGAACATACATCACGATACTTGTACAAACTGTTTTACATCTGCTTCTCGAGAACCGCCCAAAATCCAGTTTTATTTTTTTTTCTTTTTCATCACGACCAATATATTTCTCATACTATTTTAATAATATAACTTTTTAATCAATTTCAGGTACTGTGGTATTGCTTATATGTAACTAAAATGAATTTTGTCGTTCTTTCGTTGCGACGGTTGCGGTGTGGGCAGTGGGGAATGGGGAGTGGCGATGCCACTCTCGACTGGTTGTGGTGGGGTCGTTCGAGGTTCGCCAGTGAGGTATACCGGGTGGTTAGCTATTGCAAAGCCGCGTTGTGGCCGGCGGCGGATGGTGGGCGAGGGCTCGCTGCGACCTGCGCCTACGCCAACGCCATCACGAAATCAAACGTAACGTACAGATAAATTATCTTTTTAGCAAAACATCAATCAATATCAGAAATATAATTAAAACTAACGTACTATTATAACTCTCTGAATCATATTTTTATTATTTTTTTATATTTTATTTAAGTTTCACTGTAGTTCTCTTTGATATCTATTTAGTGAGCTATGTTATGTATGAACAACGCTGGCGGAGCGGGCGCGGCGCGGACGGACGCCACTCCGGCTGAACAGGAACTGAGGCCTTGGAAGTATCGCTTCCGACGCATCCATCACGGTGTGCGACCATTTTTAGTCAGTCGCCGTTACTTGTAGTTTTATTGCACACGCATTCATAACACTGAACAATTAACGACGCGAGAAATATGCCGCGGACGACTAATGAATATAATATAATAATTGACTGTCACATCGGACTACTAAGCGACACTAGTCGGATAATGGTTTAAATAGGTTTGCACGTTGGGATTCGATTGCAATAATGCAATAAAAATGAAAATCAAAAATGTCACCATGTATTGGAAACAAGTTCAGCAATGGCACCTAGTGCTTCCATGTCAGGACGAACCCAATCTGGACGACCCAATCTGGGACGACCGACGAAATGACGACAGACGCCTTCGATTGAAATCCGGGGAATAGTTCAGAGTTGATGGGAATGTTCCAGGGAGCGGTAAGGACAGCGGTGCCAATGACATGCCTGAGTCGACGGGTGGAATGGGGGGAGTGGGGGCGAGTGGAGGGGGAGTGGGGGGGAGTGGGTGTTGTTGGAGGGAAGCGTGTTAGAGTGAGACGGAAGGTGGCCAGACGCGGGGCGGGGCTCGTCTTGCGCTACGGCGTATCGCCGACGTACATATATAGATAACTATTTCAGTATTTACTTTATATTTAACATCTCATTGTACATATATTATCGTATTACTCTATTGACGGCCGAGGTCTTCCCGCGGCGAACGGACTCCGGCCGAGGGATATAAAATTTCTCTTCATTTATTCTTCGTCTAAATATAAAACTCTGTTAGATCTTAAACGTCTATGGAACTAAAATTACATTTTGTACCATAAATTGTTAAAATTAAGCCATTCGCAGCGGTGGGGGGAGGGGGATGCACGGGCCGAGTGGAGACGGACTGAGAGGTAGATGAGATTGAGAAGATCGTTTGCGTTGCGCTTGCGGATTGGCTCGTGCGCCCCCCCCCCCCCCCCCCCCCCCCCCCCATCCAACCGTCCCGTTCCCCCCGCCCCTATACTCCACCCCGCTCACGCCTACCTACGCCCGACGCCCGCTCCGCATATATATAATATATATCCTTTCTATTACTATAGAGAAGTGATTTTTTTTATATATGTATTTTTTTCCTTTTTTTCTATATGTAACATTTAATCGGACGTCACCAACTTATTCCACACTATAATAAATCCACACTATAATAAAATTAAATTGCCACCGTTATTAAACAGATGACAAGAGGCAAGTCACCGGGGCACGATGGTCTCAGTATCGAGCATCTGCAACATGCTGGGCCTCACCTGCCTAGAGTTTTGTCTGTGCTGTTTACTTTATGTCTGCGTCATAACTACCTACCAGCAGAAATCATGAAGACTATAGTTGTACCTATTATTAAGAATAAGACTGGTGACGCTTCAGATAAGGGTAATTATAGACCAATATCACTTGCGACAATTCTCGCAAAGGTGCTGGATAGTGTGCTTAATAAGCACTTGAGTCAAAACATCTCGCTACATGATGCTCAGTTTGGCTTTCGATCTGGGTTGTCCACTGAATCTGCAGTGCTGTGCCTTAAGCACACTGTCCAGTACTACACTGTTAGGAAAACACCAGTTTTTGCATGTTTTCTAGATCTTTCTCAGGCATTTGATATGGTTATATATAATGTTTTATGGAACAAATTAAAAATGCAAAGTACGTTGCCTATGGAAATTATTAATATCTTTAAATTTTGGTATGACAACCAACGTAACGTTGTTAGATGGGCAGGGGAATATTCAGAAGAATATAAAATGATGTGTGGAGTAAGGCAGGGGGGATTAACCTCACCTACTTTATTTAACGTGTATGTCAACGGACTGATTGGGGAGCTCAGCAGTGCTGGTGTCGGTTGTTCGGTAGATGGCTGTTTTATTAATAACATTAGCTACGCGGACGACATGGTACTGCTGGGCCCTTCGGTCAACTCGGTGAGAACCCTGTTAAGCATCTGTGAAAAGTATGCCATGACCCATGGACTCAGATACAACGTGAAAAAAAGCGAGCTGCTGGTCTTTAAGGCAGGTACTAAAACTTATCGTGTTCCTCCCATTACACTTAATGGAACTGTCTTACAGCAAGTTTCTAAGTTTAAGTATCTGGGTCACTGGGTCACCGAGAATTTGTGCGATGACATGGACATTGACAGGGAACGCAGAGCATTGTCGGTAAGGAGTAATATGCTATCCCGCAGGTTCGCACGTTGCTCGCGCGAAGTTAAGGTAACACTTTTTAAAAGTTATTGCCAAACATTGTACACGTGCAACCTGTGGAGCAATTACACCAAAAAAGCATACAATGCTCTGCGTGTCCAGTACAACAACAGCTTCAGGAGTTTGTTGGGGCTGCATTGGCGTTGTAGTGCTTCAGGCATGTTTACCGATTACAGCACTGATAGCTTTGAGGCAGTGCTTCGAAAAAGAGCTGCCTCCTTATGGACGCGGGTGAGGAGCAGTTCCAACACACTCCTGAAGGTTGTGTCTGATCGAGTGGACAGCCCAATAATAAAACATTGGGCTTTCATACATGTCCAACATAATAATAAATATTTTAAATTTTACTAACATAGTTTTTAAGTTTCTAACTAACACTATGGACTTGTATTATGATTTATTATGTGCAGTCTGAAATAAATAATTTCATTTCATTTCATTTCATTTCATTTCATTCAATAGACAACGGTCCCCAGAGGGAAATGTACTGTGAGCTAAGCTAGCGAGGGCCGGTCGGGCCGCAGCCGAGGGGCGAAGGCGTCGGATGCGGTCCGACGCACCGCCTACTTTTACGAGGCAAAGTGTCGACAATACGCTATTTTTAGACGAAAATCGATCAACGTGCAGATCCTAAATTCACAGAAAATCTGTCTGAGAACTATCTGAAGAGGAGTAGAGTGTGGCCACTATCAACTAGGAGATACGATGTAACAAAAAATAATGTAACATTGCATAGTATGGATCGAAATGTAGTCAATTGCTTGGGGCACTTAGTGCCCGTCACACCGTTCCGGGCCAAAAAGCCGAGAAACTAGCTGCGATAAAACTCTTACAACATTAAACTACAACTTAAAGTTGAAATACATTCGTGTTAGCTGTAAACATGATAACTCTGCGGCCCTAACATATTAAGCAGTTATATAAAGCATTTAAACAAACTCATAAAATCGCTGACAATGTAATCTGAACCTAATTCTAAATTATGTAAACTGAGTAAGATTTTGAAAGGCAGTGTAGTACATACAAGACAAAATTTACAATGTTCAAAATCACAAATGACATTAACAACCCGCTGGGCAGCTCGACGCTTTTACAATTTACTTCAAAGGAGATATTTTATGTCTTAAAATATTATTTAAATCCGAAAAAAAAAAGTGATAATCTTCAAACACAGCCTTTAGCGTCGGTAGCGGGCAACACTAGTTTAAAACTTACTACAAACACTTTTAATTAGAATTAAAGTCTAGTCCATACATATTGACGTTGTGATGTATTCAAATCGTTTATGTATATATGTACATTGTATACAAGTTTTTTCAGCGATTTTTTTACACTTTTGACGTGATCACATAATGTTTTAAAATTATAATCAAAATTAGCAAAGTCGTGGACGAAAAATAATAACGTCCACTAAAATAAAGCGCGTGAGTAAACATCATCCTAACTAAAAAAATTCTTACAATGTAGTAACGCGACGAACTATCAACTAGGATGACTCGAATCGTTTGTCCTAACACTAAATGTGTGTCTTGTGCATAAGAAAGCATTATCCGCGTCCCTGTGCTCGTTTTATTTTACTTATATACCATTATTATGTGTTTTCCTTCGCTTTAGTGATTTTAATGCACTCGCGATAGAGATGTAAATACTCCGTCTCGGCGAAGAGGAGTTAAGGAAGGATGAGACGGAGGAATTCGCGGAAATGCTCTCTCATCGGCATCGCGACGCGGAACCGGCGCCGGCGCGAGAAAGCTACGGACGATAATGGTCGTGCTAATAATAAACGAAACGAAACAAAAATGCATAAATAGATTAGAAGAGGAATTCGCGGGCGCGCTCACGCACACCGACACGCCAATATGTACACGCACGCACTCACGCCTCCAACCGCGCGGCGGCACTCGCCCCGGGACGGGTGTTACGCTCGTCCCCTGCTCTTCCCCTGCTCGTCCCCTGCTCGCCCCTTCCCTTCTCTCGTCCGCTCTCCCCTTCTCGCCCGCCGCGGAACGAGTCCGCGCGCTCCCAGGGTGCTCACGGAACCAAACTTAACCTACCCACATGGACGCGGCCGCGAGCCCCCCTCGGCCAACTCGCACTACGCATAGACGGACGACGCGACCTAACTAAACATAGTATATATATATATATATATATATATATATATATATATAGGTTTCACCCGGACTAGGTTACTGCTACGCAGACTTTTCTTTTTCAAATAAAACGCCTAAACTTTTGTATAATTCAAAACTCACTCCACCCGAAAAATCATATACAACGTGGGACATAACATTCCACGACTAATTTTAACCATTCAATTTCGCCTTGCAAATGAACACTCGACACATTATCGCAACTCGAACAGCTCTCCGAGCAAACTGCGTGCCCAACGAAACGGTGTCTTATGCTCGGCGCCATAGAGCTCAATTCTAAACGCAGCCGCGACCGCGTCCATCTTACACGTAAAACATTTTAAATCCGTCGGATCGTACGCCTACGAGTATATCACAGCAGTGCGCTACTTATCTAAGATTCGAGCCGGCCAGCGCGGCGAGGCCTCGCCGCCGGGCCGCCGCCCTCCCCGGCGGGGGCCACGCCGCGCTGGCCCTCGCACGCGCCTCTCACCTGTAAACCCCTGGCCGTTACACCCCTCTCGCCTAGCGCCCCTACTGTCGTTAAATTATCAATAGTAAAAACAAAATGGATACGCCTACGAACTAGAAAGTGGCATCTCATAGTTTTCGCGATTCATCTCGTAACGGAACAATGGAACACCCGGACATATCCAGCGATCACTCATTAATATCATGTACGGCGTGAAAAATATGCAACTTACACGGGATGCAACAATTTTCGTAACTATCAAATTATACGTTTTTGTCGATCGTTCCACTTCATTTTATATCAGCTCGATAGAGCGCGCCAAACTATTTACACAGATTAAAAAAGGAAGAAAAGTAACAGGAGAACGTCAATGAAACGAAGCTCAAAGCCGCAGTTAGTTCGGAAGGTGTGCCCCGCCGGGCGAGCACGGCGCACGTGGCCGCGCGGGCCGTGTCACGCCGCCGCGTCACGGCGCGCGTGCGCCCCGTCACGCGGCGCGTGCTCGCCGGCCGCGCTATGTGCGCAGAGCAGTATATACAGAGGCGCCGGGCGGGGCGGGGCGGGGCGGGGCGGCGCCCGCGCATCAAATCCGGCTCGGGGCGCTGCCGGTGAACGTGTCCTGCAACATCAGAGAGAACCGGTCAAACACGCCAAACAAAAGTTCTCCAACCCTGCCGTAGGAACAAAACTTCAGTCTACAACTTACGTAGATGGGCCGATAGGCTCAGGGGCGCGATTAGAACAGCAACATTTAAATTACTTTTAGTATTAAAAATTATTAAAGTAACTTTACACCTTTCAATTATTTTAATTTAATTTAATTTAATTATTATTTTATTTAATTATTTAACCAATTACTTTAATTATTAAAGTAACTTTACACCTAAATTGCCTTGTTTAATCATATCATTGATTGATTTTCTGATTGAAATACTGTTAGATTGGAATATTACTCTGTTCTACTTTACTTAAACTAATCAAAATTGCCAATCCACTTTTAATAAGAGCTTGCTGTAACCAGTTATCGATTTTTATTTTGTTGGAATAAAATATTTTGTAAATCCGGCTCAAAGGACCAGAATGTGAAGCTAAATCATTAAATAATTTGATAAAAAGCTTACATAAAATAATCGACAAATATGTTTGACGACTCTGTACGAGTAGAGTTCAAGGGCAACGGTGATTATTCACCAACAGGAGCACACCTTCACGTCCTCACCTATTCCACGTTAAAAATGAATCTTCTATCTTTTAAGAGTTCATTCAAGTTTATGGAAAGTCATATTTACTTTTTAAACAAATAAACACTAGTACCCGGATAAACAATCAATACAGTAGTCTGAAAGTTTGTTGGGTCCTTTATATTTAAACCCTGTCTAATTATTATGTAAGCATTTCCATAGGCGTATATAGCGGGGGGGCCGGGTGGTCCGTGCCCACCCCAGTATCGTCTAGTGCCCATCCCAGGAATTTGGGTTACCGATTCGAAATTCTAGGCTGGACACCTATTCTTCATCGCCAAAAGCAGATTGAAGCCGAGCGAGGCTCTGCTGAACTTTCTAATTACACTTAAAATCGTAGTATGTCAAATATACTTCGAAAATTTTCCCGAGTTAAATCCATGTGAATGTAGACACGATTTTTAAAATGGCGTCACAATGTAAAAATAATTGACAGTCAGATAAAACAAACTGCATTCTACAGCCAAAGACTTCCATTTAAAAATGTTGTAATTACTTTTTAAATATTGTTTATGTAATTGGCCAGTTCCTTTAGTTACTTTTAGTGTGACCTATGTATAATTACCATGAAATGCAGACTCGAAAGCGCAACTCTGGCCCAATCGATAGAAGCGTTTTTAAATACCTATAGATTTCGAAAATGGGAAGGCTTTTATCTTACGAATACATTCTTCGAATTGATAGCACCCTTCTAGAAGCGGAATGTAAAAAAAAACTTAATAAAAGAAAATAATATTAAATTTGAAATTCTTAAGGAACACGCTAAACAAGATTTATCTCCAAATCTTTTTAAATTAATTCAAGCTGCTATTGTGATCAGTTCAGCCGGATGCGAGCGGAGCTTTTCAGCAATGGAGAATTAACTTTTCTCCATATAGGAAACTAGCGACCCGCCCCCGAAAAATAGCCCTAGATACGCCAATGAGCATATCAGGCGCATAAGGATTGTTTTTTGAGTCGGATGTAATAAAGTTATGCTCTCACCATGTCCCGGGAGGGTTGTGCGCTGCCTGCCCTCGGACCACCACCCTGAAACGATATATATATAACATATAATTCACGTTCAACTTATTTAATGCGTCTCACATGGAAGGAGGTTAAAATAAGTACTCGAGACATTCGTCACCTAAATATTAATATCATCCTATACCAATTTATTTTTATTTTATCAACACCTTGTTGGAAAACGTCTCATTTGATCAGATTTGACACTGCCGATCTGATTCCTAGTAAATACCAATCCAATATATGTACGCTTCGAAGAATTCGTTTACTCGAACTCACAAATACACGCAACAGCGTAAGGAAAATTTGACTAGATAGTTGTATGTAATGTAAGCAATATCGCTAATAACATGATTCACAAGTTGTGCCAACCCAATATCGCCGATGCTAATGAAAAATCTATTCGTTGATTTGGCCTCATTTCAAGCAATACAGTCAGTCCGCGAACTACATAAAGATTCAGCGGTCTGAGAGCTCGTGCAAAAACTAAGTTTCTGCGGGCTTTACATTCACGAGACCTAAGCAGAGTACCGCATGTGTACATTAACTGTTAAATGATAACACACTCCGGGCTCTTTCAATCACAGTTCTTATATTGTACTAGCGAAAGTTGACTCGGTAAAAGGTACTGATGAATGTTCAGTGGATCCATGTTGGAAACATACACTACAGCTTCTTATTCTTATTATTTGGGCAGACGATTACGGCTGATTGGTATAGTCAACAATAGCAAGCTATTCAACAACCGAGGTTGTTCAATACCTTCAAGGCCACGGCTAAATTGGATGAGACGCGATCGGAATGTCTCTGATATCCACCATGCTCCACAGACTAACAGATTACCGTTTTCGTAATTCGGCAAAAAAAAATACGATGTGTCAGCCAGATTTTATTGATTCTCGCCCCAAAACTTTTTTCAGGAATTGAATTGATGGCTGATAGCGTAATGTGTATTCAAGGTGAACGAGAGAAGGGAGAAAGGGAGGAGTGTAGTGGAGTGTAGTGGAGTGGAGCGGAGTGGAGCGGAGTGGAGCGGAGTGGAGCGGAGTGGAGCGGAGTGGAGCGGAGTGGAGTGGAGTGGAGCGGAGTGGAGTGGAGCGGAGCGGGCGCGGTCACCTGCAGGGCGTCGGCGGCGTGCACGCGGCCCATCTTGTCGCAGTAGTCGGCCAGGATGTCGCGGAAGCGCGTCCAGCACTTCTCGGGCACCGTGATGGCCGTGCGGAAGTTGCTCTTCACCTGCGAACAGCCGCTTGTAGACCACCTTGGCTCGTGCACATCTATATTTATACCTCCTTACTCTGCCCAACATCGACTACTCGAGCATGCCTACATTTCAAAATAAAATGTGTATAACGTACATTTGTTTTATCAACAGTGTTCATGCAAAGTTACAGCTAAGTTCGTCTTGGGACCGAAATCGCCCCCATCAACTGGAACATGTGGCAAATAATGAAAGCGTACAAAACAAATAAATCAAACGCCAAAGCCATTCGGGTAGATCACAACATGTACAATTCTTTGTTTACCTCGCTTACTTTCATGTAGATGCCTCGGTTGTTCTGTCCGATGTCGAAGTAGAAGTTTTTGTTGTCTACGCGCAGGTGCCGGCCCTCGGGCAGGTCGCCCTTGAATCTACGTACGAAGATTTTATTTAGTAACAACAAACAATATATATCTCAGACATGAAACCAAATAGTTATGTACTCGGAGTGATTTACCGATTTTCAGTACATACCAAAAATTAAAATTATAAATAACAAACTAGATTAAGATTAAAACAAAGCAGGCGTTTACATTAATTCCAGGGCAATAACACAATACCGACTAAATATAACACAAATCTGGTACATCATTTCAAAGACAACAATCTGTACAAAGATTTTCCTTTGACGAAACAACTACTAGACGAACACAGGAATAGACTTAAATTAAAGAAGGAATTCCCTTCTCCCTCTCTAGTTGATATTTATAATTTAAAAATGATAATCGTAAAGCAAACATGATTCCAAAAATTAAATTTTAAACAAGGGAAAGAACCAAGCATCTAAATCAGATTCAAGTTAAATAGTTAATTGCTTTACACCAGACCTAGAAATAAAACAAAATAAAATATAAATGTGAAAGGGCATATTTAAATGATACAGTAGGACCTTGTTTAATGGAGACTTGATAAATTGGTTTTTGATGGAGATAAGTTGGTTTTTGAATGGATAAATGTCATGACGAAGGTCAGACAATAAATAATCACAAACAATCTGAAACTTTATGCTTTTAGATTTCTTTTAGTCCCTGAAGTGATAACTTTTATCACTTGAATCAATCACATTTTGGTTAATGTCCAATTAATGAATTCATCAAGTCAAATCCATAAGGCGACTTCCAAGTTGTTTTAAGTAAACTTAAATGCTGAATACATAGTTCGTAATTGGTTGTAAAAGTTGCCAGTTTGGGACGTGTAGTTTTTAATTCCAGCATATTGTATGGCGTTTTCCTTTGCATGCTTTAATACGTGCGGGGTGGGGTGGGACCCATCTCGTGGCAACTGGCGACCTCCCGTCCGTAAATCGTCGACAAGGTAATCTCGCCGGTCGCCATTCGTGTAAATGTAATTAATAACGCATCGCTATGGCTGCACCGGGCACCGGTGCGGCCACGTACGCTCGCTATTGGGAGGTCGCAAGCCGCTTTTTTACAATATCGCTGCATCAAATTGTACGGTATAACTTAATTGCTGATATTATTTATTTATATATAAACACTTAAAGAAACAATAATAATTTTGATGTGATGCACTTAAAAATTAAGTTTAACAATTTAAAAAAGACTTCGTTTAAGGAGAAACCGCACGATTCGTCGTGTCATTGTCAAATCGGTGCGGGTGAGGGGTGAGGGGCGACGGGTGTGCGGGTGTGCGGGTGTGCGGGTGGCGGGTGTGCGGGTGGCGGGTGACGGGGTGGAGGCTCACCCGCCGTCGTCGGTGCCGAAGTCGTCGAGCAGGTCGGTGAGGGCGTCGCGGAACTCGATCATGCCCTGCGCCGGCAGCGCCACCTGGCTGCGGGGCCCGCCGCGCGAAATGGTCTGCGACACGCGCAGGAAGCGCCCGCGCGAGTTCTCCTTCAGGTCGAGGTAGTAGCGCCGGTTGTCCTGCGCCGTGCGTGCGACCGTCCATTATTAGCCACTCCAGTTCAATGAAAAGCTCAGCTATCACGATTATCATCACGTTTCACTCGAACGAGCGAGTTCAATCCCCAGTGTCGGCACGTATTACGCGGTGAAGGAAAATATCGTGAGGAAGCTTGCATATTTTCGAAAGAATATCAAAATCTTTCGAAGATATGTGAAGTCAGCCAACCCGAATTGGGGCCGCGTGGTGGACTATCCCCTGATACCCTGTGTGCAGAGGAGGCCTTTGCCCATCTGTGGGACTCTAAATGAAAAAGAAGCGAGGCACCTTTAGCATAATCTCCGACTTGAGCTTGCCGTCGTCGGGCACGTTGTCCGGGTTGGGGGGCCCCAGCGACGAGTAGAAGTCGCTGAAGCTGGACAGGTAGTCGCGGAACTCGGCCGCGGTGGACATCGCAAGGAATATCTGGCTGCGCCTGCCGTCCGCGCCGATCTGCCCTCGACAGCAAGAGAACTGCTAGCTACCATAAGAGTTTGGGGACCGGACGGCTAGGGCCGCAGTATGCAAACCAAATGAAAAGAAAAAAAAAATACGCTACATGTGGCGTTAAAGTAAACGTTCCTTTCCCTTTATACGAATTTTGTTAAATGCATTTTTATCATTAGGGACATATGACAGTCATATCTCACGTTAATACAAACTTACAACAGTTGTTAGTAGTTTAATTTTAAGAATATTAAAATTAAGATAAACAAAACATAATGAACATAATATATCGTAATTATACTAAACTTTAAATCGAGGCTACCTCCATCTAGATTTTGAAAGAAGCCTACACATATTTAGAAGGCCCGTCTTGACCATTTTCTGAAGGATCTGTTTTCCTTTAAAATAACTTCAAACAATACTGAATAAGTCGCAATAATCAGTTATCGAAGATATATTTACATCAGAGCGTTATCAAACGATACAATATCGGCTTATGTAACACTAAGGATCGCGAAACCTGTAGCAATGGGCTTGTGGAGCGTTCCTTGCTTGTTTCTTTCGACACTTTTCCATAAGACCACCAGTTCGTGCTTCATTAAAGGATTACGAATGAGGAATCAAAACTGAACACGCAAGGAAAAAGTACTAGCAATGGTTACGTTAAAACCAAGTTAATAATTGCGTGTCTGCTCGAACAATAACCACCACAGCCAGTAATAAATAGAAGTATAGGATTTTACATTCATAATCTCTATTTATAACTTTAACACGTTGATTAATGCATATTTAATGCAATTAAAAAGAATATAAAATATTTTGCGCAATCGGTTCTATTGCCAAGCTGACGTGGCGCTATCATGATTACTTTTAGTAAACATCATCATGTTATGATTATTTTAAGTAAACAAATTTAAATGCGTAAATTGGAAGACGACGGCACATCCAGCATCACGAACTGTACAAATCTGCAGAAGGCTTAGGAACTTGCTTGATGGCTGAATGATGGAGGAGGTCTATGTTCAGAGAGCCGTGATAGCGCAATGTCTGGGCTCTCGCTTTTAATTCTATGTGCTCAAGCAACATGATCAATCCCCGGTGCCGGTACCAATGAAATTGTTCATTTTAAGTGCTGGCTTATCACGTACTCAGCGAGAAGGAAAATATCGTGAGGAAACCTGCATATTTTCAAAATAAGAACAAAGAATTAAATTTTCGGTAATATGTGGAATTCGCCAATCCGCAGTGGGGCCGCGTGCCGTGGTGGACTTTGTACAGACCCCATACAGACGGGGCCTTACTTTAATTTAGTATGTTCACCGGTTGTTGGCGATACAGAAATTGGGATATCAGTACAATAACACCACAAGACTCAAAAATTAACTATCCAAATGTAAGCAGGACTTGGTCCACCCACCCACCTCAGCCACCTTTATAAACCGGCCTCGTCGGTTCTGCTTCACGTCCAGGTAGAACCGTTTCGACTGGATCTGCAGCATTTTTGTCGCCAACTCCTGCTCCTGTGGCTGTTGCCCTGCAGACGCGGTAATGGCCATTTATTAAGTTCTGTTATTATCTATATCTTTTTACAAACATATTTCGAAATCATCAAGCGTTGTAATAACAATGTTTGTGTGAAGTGTCTCCTCTCGGCTCAATAGTTGAATGACTCGGTTATTCTTTTATGAAAATTTAGTTATGAGAATATCGGGAGCACGATTGGCTACTCATATTCATGGACAATTTACGGCCGGCTTCAATGTTCACTCTACAGATAGATTTGGTTACTGGAGATATAATTTAGAAGTATTATGGAGCTAATGTCAAATATCTGTCGCTAGTAACAAAATCTTTCTGTAGATTGAATATTGAAACGGGCCGCTAGTGTTCAACTAAAGTAAGTAGTCAGATCAACGAAATGTGGGTCAACATTAGAAAGTCTTGTATGCCGTGCCCGCATCCGGAGACTCCGCGGTCGATCGGCCAACAGCAAGAGATCCACCGAGAGGCGGCAACTTCGAACTACCATTTGTTGGCCCCGTGTCGAAACACGGGGCCAACAAATGAAACGGCCGGCGATTAGAAATCAGATCGATTTCAGCCGGCGTCTCGCTCCACCGGCCGTGGCCACACACAATACCCTTGTAACACATATCGTCCGATCACGGTGCGAACGAGTTTCGCTCGGAATCGCTACACGTTGTTTAGTTCTGCCTCATTGTTACCAATTGCCGAGCCTGCCTCGTTCGTGACGTCTACATTAACTGGCGACATAATAAACGCTCGAAGAGTACCTCACCCACGGGAGTCTCGGAGAGAGAACAATGTTATGAGAACAAACTTAAGGGGATTGAAATTCAGCGAAAGCTCCACGGTCAATATTTGTATGTATTTTAGTTAAAAAGAACCAAGCAATAGACTTATCAAAAACACCTCTCAACAATAATAAAAGTTAATTTTGATAATATTACGAACAGCGGCATTATATCCAATTTCTCCTGATTAGCCCCGGAGTTAATAAGAATATCAGTCTCTCAAATTACCAAATCTCTTTCCATGTTATGATAACACTGAATGAGAATTAATGCTTTTAAATTATTCAAGCCAGCCAAAGTCTTCAGAGTTCGAAGATGCATTGTATTCCCGAACGAGTTTTCTCTGAACGTTCAAGCTCATTAGTATTCATACTAACTGATACAGATATGTCTGCAAAATTAGAAATTATTGATTGTCGAAGCCCACTCAAAGGCGGGGGTTAACAGATAGCCAGACAGACGTGCCGTAATTGGTGCCCGAGACGATTTGCCGAAACGGCGCAAAGGGCCTGCAATGTAATCAATTACCATCCCTAAAAATGGACAAATTTCTCTTTGGAGATAACTACTCGATGAAACCCTAATCGAATTTGCAGTATACATACTTCATTATGTGTATCGTTCTTATGTATTAAAGAAAGGTTAGACAAAAGGGAAGTGGTGACAGAAGAAATAAAACTAAAAAAGGAAGATATTTAGCTCATGGGGATCATATCACTTTTACCACAGTTCATTTGCTTTTGACAATTTGTATTCCTAACTTTTAATCAAACGAAAGACTCTACCACTCTTTTCACTACATCATACTGTCAACCGTTGAACAAATATAAAGTACATATACAAAATACTATTTATCTTCCTTCTCAGACTTAAATATACCTCATTTATGGTAAAAAAAAAAAGTTGCCTACAGTCCCTACAGTCGAAAAGAATGTTAAATTTTTGAAAAATTTATCTACAAAAATTAAAATTTCAGTTTCATATTAAATGCTGAGACTAAACTAAAATAGACTTAATAGACACAGGTTTTCTCATGTACCGCGGCCGAAAATACTTTTACGTAATTCCGATTATAAAATAACGCAATTATTTGTTATAATCCTTAAAAAAAAGTTAACTTTTCCAAACGTTTTGAGTCGACAACTCACCGGAATCGAAGTTATTCCCACCGGCGTCCATACTTTGACCATGGTACTCTGGAATAAATAACACTATTAAATAAAGGAACGATTAATACACATGGGTTGCATAAAATAAAACGCGATAATCAACAACGCTTTATTGATTAAATCTATTTCATACAAATGTTGTACGTATAACACATACCGCTGAATAGTCTGTTATATAATATAGTGTTTGCGATGTCTTCCCAGAATCTCTACGGAAGCAAATAATTAACTTGTCCATAGAAGCAGTGATGTTTCATAAACGGTACCGATATTCAGTTATGACATGTTATTTCGGCTAAAGAATAATTAGATCTGTCGAAAAATTAGTGGTTCCAAGGAAAATTCTCATAAAAAATTTGGAAATTAAAACCCTAGCAATTTTTATTCGCCTCGTAATTAATAAATAATTTGAAATGTAAGTCGGGAAGTCGATGGATGCAGGTGGCTAAGGATCGTGGATGCCTCGCGGAAGTCTGTGGGGGAGGTCTATGTTCAGCAGTGGACTCAAACAGGCTGAAACGATGATGATGAAGAAATGTAATATCGGCCCCGCTTATTCGGCCGCGTACGATATCGGGACCTCAAACCCGAATCCTTAGAGGCATCAAAAAACAATGAAATTTAAAACTCGTTAGCTGGCCCTATAAGTACTATCTAACAAAGTGTAAATTTTACTCAACTTCTAGACGTTCGAGTGTTTAAATATTTTCCATAGAAATTAAAAACCAATGACTATTTTCCATCCTTACTAATATTATAAAGGCGAAAGTTTGTATGAATGGATGGATGTTTGTTACTCTTTCACGCAAATACTACTGAATGAATTTTAATGAAACTTTACAATAATATATTCTGATGTATAAGCACATCAGAATATAATTTATATACATATTTTTAGTATATCTGTCTTTCTGTCTAAATTGTACACCTTCAGCCTATTCTACGCAGACGTAGTCGCGGGCAGCAGCTAATAAAAAATAATTTCTTGGCTTCTCCAGGACCCTCTCATAGGGAATGAATGTTAACACTTTCTGTTCCGGTGCAAATTTCAACTTTTACAATTCATATATTTAATTATAAATTACCAAAGTAATAATTAAGAAAGTAATTAATTTGTTCTCTTCATTACCTCAACACGCATTGTCACATAACAACGATGCAGTATTGCCGACTACCTTTAAACAAGTAGAGCGATCGAAGAAATTGCGTCATTTATGTGGCATAATTAATGGGTACAGTGCAAATAATAAAAGCGCCTTGTCGGTTGCAAATAATACGGGAATAGTAACCGGCCGAAAACCGTAACAAGCGATGCATTTTTAATGTCGGGTAACTGTAACTGCGGCTAAAGAATGCGACGAGAGCTCACATTTGATGTGATTTCATCTTACGCCATTTGCGTTTAGATATTTCCTAAACCCGGAACTTTCCTCCACCGACCGGTGGAAATGTTTCTTCTTACGAGTCTCCCATGGAATACCTTTTCGTAAACATGTTCCAATGGAAACTCGCCCTAAAGTGAAGCGTTGAACTATCGCAACGTGCATTACGGCACGCAGCCGCCTCCGTCATCAGCCTCCACGCACTCTAGACCGCCGAAGGCCGTATTACTTGTTGCAAATAGATATCCAGTTGGTACCCGCAATATCAATTTCCGATTGCTGAAGGCCGAATCGAGCCCGCAGCTCGGCATTAATTTTCGCTTGTAGCAAATAAAAGACTAATCCACTTTTAGCAGGAGCAGACTGTAAAAGAATTACCTATGTTCAGTAACAAAACATTCGTTTTAGATGAAGAATGTGCCATTTCAAAATCTAACCAATCTATAGCAAATCTATTTATTTATATTTGACGACCCGTTTGGCGTAGTGGGTAGTCTACCTGCCTCTTGCGCCGGAGGGTGTGTTCGATCCCCACTACTGGATAAATAATGTGTGATGAACATAGTGTTTTTCCAGTTTGTGGGTGTTTTATATATAAGTATAATATGTAGGTATTTATAAAAGAAAAGTATGTTTAAGAATTTTTATCAGTTATCTAGTACAGTACTAGCGTTACTTAGTTTGCAGAATGTTGCGTAAAACTGTGTCTTAAAATATGTATTATAAAAAATGTAGTGGAATTAATATCATAGGCATCTGCGTGTCATTACAACTACTGGGTTAAAATGCAATGTTTTCATTGTCGTTATCTCATTAAGACACGGCGAAGGCTACAGTTCCTCTGACGCCAAAGAGTCTACTGCAGTCAAATTAGAAGAAGTGGTTCCGTAGAACAATTAAATTTATAAGTCAAGATTTGTTCATCGCATATTATGAGCAGAAATATATAAGACATATACACACACATACATGTAGATATATGTGTGTGTGTGTGTAGATATAATATAAATAAAGGTAATATTTTTCTAGTTACAGAAAATGTTTTCCTGATACAAAGGAACTCATGTTGCATTGTATTGTATACGGCGTGTATAAAATTAATACCTGTCACGGATGGTCGTTAACAACTCAAAAATACTCATCACTTTTTTATTACCTCTTAATAAATGTAACAGTTTACACAAAGAATATGTGCAAATATGAGAAGAGCTCAGCCGACCATACAGTACCTCCCAAATTAACAAATACCGCGAATGTATGATTGAATAATTTCAACGTTAATTAACATGATACCTGTTTAAATAACATAACGCGGCTTTTACAGTGCGGGTTGCGGGTACATAACGGTTATCAATATAATATGCTGACCGCAAACATAGTAGTGATGTGGTAATTATCCCAGCTCTGCTCTTTACCGCAGAGGCAATCCGAAAAACAAAATTGAATGACATTTCATTCACCGATTTTGTATACCCTGTTGGACATTAAAGTTACAAACGATACGTTCGACATGTTTCTTTTTATTTATAAAAAGCTGTGCCCTTGACTTCGTCCGCGTGGAATTCAAAATAAAAAAAAATTTCCAAAATAAAAGTATATAGCCTAAGTTACTCATTACATCAGCTATCTTACAGTGAAAGCTCCGTCAAAATCGGTTCAGCCGTTTCAGAGACTACAGAGTCTATGTACTGTGTATATCATCTATATGCATTTGTAATCTATGTGTATGCATCTATATGCATTTAGTAAAGCGTTTTTTTTAAAATATTACAACCACACGCTCCAATTTTTATCTGTATAGATATATAGAAGACTAGCAGACCGGACAGACGTTGTTCTGTACACACGATTTAAATTCGACAACTTATATAAAATACGTATATAAAATTGTAGTCGACCGAATTGTGATTCTAAACCATTCTTGAATCGACCTGAAGACAAACAAAATTATATTAAAATCTAGGAATTCAGTGACATTCACACGTACAGAAGGATTATAATATATAAAAAGACAACATCCGCATTTTACTCACAACAAAAAAAAAATATAATATATATAATTATAATATATTAAATAAATAAAAGAAAGGAGAGTAAAGAAAGAAAGAAAAATATTTCTTTGGTACATAAATATAAATATACATGAACACAGTAATTTTGTTACAAAGAAAGAAAATAATTTTAAATACTAAATGAGAGTTTTCAGTGGAACCTAGATAAGGAGGTAGATAATAAAAATAATAAATTAAAAAATAAACGGTCCAAAAAATAACATATTACCCCCAAGATACCATTATTTTAAAATATTGATAAATATTTAATTTAGTGTTCTCTTTTTACCATCAGCATCTAGCAACTACAAAGCTACAATGGCAGGATTTTACATTTAATCTATAAAGGACAATCTCTAAAATAAATTAAACAGGTATTTATATCGTTTATACTTTACTTTTCCATAATAACTTAAATTCAGATTTTAAGTATTGACGATATTGATAGTTTATACTGTTAAATTGATTGTGAGTTAACTTTTAATCAGACTGATATTTGGTTATGGGAAATATGCGAATTGACCACGATTTTAACGCGACACTGACTGGAAAAGATAGGGCGCTTCTCTCTCGGATAACTAATAAATCAAATTCTAGTCCAGGCGTCGCTTTTCCGAATATTGAATTTTAAATAAACCGCTTTAAATCGATATATTTCATGCCATACTTATCTTAATACGGGCATATAATCACTCAAATTACCGTATAATGATTTACCTATGCAAAAATATAATATTTATGTATTAAAATTTAAAAAAAGATATTTTATTGACGGTTTAACTAAATAAATGGAGTTATAGCTATTTACCTAGTTATAGGGAAATACCTAGGTAGGTATATACCTAGTTATAGGTAAATACTAGTTAAATACCTATAACTAGCTACCTACCTATAACTGATATAACTGGAACTCCTGTCAAAAATTCTTTATTAGTTGCCATGGTAATACCGTGAAGTTAGTCGCTTTCGAAGTTGGTCGCTTTGCAACCAACTTAATCAGGTCGGTATCGGTGTGCGCTCGTATTTTAATATAAATAATTTAACTCTCATAACTCTTTCCAAACGCGCCACATGTTATACTTCAACTTCAATAATGAAAACATAAAATCGTGACAAATATAATTTAAAGGTTTTATTTTATAAATGCTATTTTATATATAATTCGCCGCCCATAGACATTGACAACGATGGTTAAAGATCGTTCAGCAAGACGAAAGTGAAAAAGTTTGCGTCGTTCTTTTACAACCCTTAGCGCCTCTTTCACCATCTACAAGTAAAGTGTCAAATGAGCTAATCACCACTTAGCGCCAGTTAGCGCTCATACGAGTAGCACTAACATAGAGTTAAACTAGTCCGTAACTTACTTGCTACTACATCTGCCGATTAGCGTATTTAACTGATAGTTAAAACGTCAGTTGGCCATTTTGTGTTTAGTAAAAATAATAATGGAAGTGTTTGATTTGGTTGATTACCAATTAGATTAATTTGAACGTTCCTCGATACAATTATTATAAAACATAAAATAACTACCTAAAAAAAATATTGGTAAAAAAACTTTTAATTAATTAACATTTTCTTGGACAAATTGATTATG